TAGAAATTTATAGGTTGGTGTGTGTCTTGGGTACGCGAGCTGCGAGCTAAATTCTAGGTATAAATAACGACAAATACGTCGAAGTATAATTTAATATTCCGGTTTGTGTCTTGGCTAATCATTTGATCTCTTAGGTATAAGCTTTAGGCTTGAATAAAATACCAACAAACAGGTACCAAAATGTACCAATTGATGTTTTGGTGCATGTCTTGGATAATCCGTTTATCAATTTAATTAGTTTGTGCTTATATATGTATATGTAGCCTAGCAAGGAACAACTTTGGTTTAATTGAATATTTGGCTTCGTTTCAGTTCAAAATGTTCAGGCCTCTTGGCTTTCACTCAAGCCTCTATGGAGTCGACCTCCACTGGCACGACAGGAACGGGAGCTGAACGTGCCATTTCCTTCAGCATGTTGCGGCCCCAGTAGATGCTCACATCGGCGCAGTTCTTGAAGGTCTCTTGGGGACCACAGCCCAAGGCGCCAGTGCCATTGCCACAGTTGCCCCAGTTGTTGGCTGCACAGATGTTAAATTGACATACATACATATATCTCTATGATATATCTGCAGCAGAGCAGCACACTTACCGCCTACGTAAGTCCAGCGGAGCACGCAGTGCTGACAGGTGAGACCCTCAGGCAGGATGACGGTCACATCGAACTCGCCAGCCTTGGTGCCGATCTCAAGCCGATCGCTGCCGTCGGGAAAGCGCAGGCGATGCTGATCGAAGCACTCCTCGGACTCCCCTCCAAAGGCATCCAAGTTGCACAGGTGGAACTCAAAGTGGCCCAGATGATTCGTGGTGATCTTAACGCCAACTGTGATGGCATTGGCGGCTATGTAGCTCTTGGTAATGACACCATTGCCACCAATCTGGCCGCCGATCTCGTTGGGGCGCGGTTGCGCAGCCGAGAAGTTGTCGCCGCACAGGCCGCATCTGCCGCCATTGTTTGCCTGGGTCTGCATGGCTGAAATGAAAATTGTATAAAGTGAGCTTTGGGCAGGGAGCATTTATCCGGCTGGTGGCGCGAGACCTACATATAAGCCACCGCAGAAGAGCTCGTTGTCATTGTAGTTCTGGGGCGCAGATCCATCGAAGCGCCAGCGCGAGGACCGACTCGGCGGGCTCAGCATCATGCCGTGCGCCTCGATCTGCTGCAGACCGATGGCCAGAAGGAGTACGCCGCTTAGCAGGTACTTCATCATATCGTCAATTTCACTTTCACTGTGTCCGTCCCAGGCCGTGCGCAGGCCTTATATTTCCCAGGCCGCACCATTATCTGGATCCCGATTATCGAACGGAGAGTTTTACGACAGCTCTTCAGCTGCCACCCGACGCACGTTATCATTTTGAGGGCAACACGCAGCCCATGTATACGCAAATAATAATAACATTAATTTGTTTATTTTGGCGACCACTGCGACGGGGCGTCTATGCCAGCGAAATCCGCTTAAAGCCCGAATAACCATCTCTAATTGGCATCGTAAAGAGCGCTCATAAAAATGTCAATTGTATGCAAAGAATTTGCCACATTTGTATTTATAAACATCTTTAAGTACTTTCTGGGGGGGCCTCAACAGATCAATTGGCTTATCAGAGATATATGTATGTACATAAATATGTATGCATGCGTATATATACATACATCTGTTGTTTTACTCATACTCTTATCAGTTATCAGATTTCAAAAGTATTTCTTGTATTTGCATTGACTTTTGTTTTTCTTGTGAATGAACTCTTCACATTCCCGATCAATAATTGCTTGAAAATGAATGAATGAATGAATGAATGACTGATAGAGTGACCTATTGAGCTTTAACAGAATTGGAGCTATACACAATTAGCCACCAACAGATTTTAGCATTGAGTCCTGATCTCTGAGTCTCTCATTTTCACACTCAATGTTTATTAT